GGCCAGGCCCGGCCGGTGCCAGGTTCGCTTCCCCCTTGGCTTTTCCCCCCAGAGGAGCCTCTTCCCAGCAACCGGACGGGCACACGAGCCCGTCAGAACACACGGCCGGGGCCTGGCAGAGGGCACCACGTCCACAGAGACCTCCTTGCCCCTGACCGGGTATGGGCCAAACCCTGTGACGCTCTGCCACATCGGTCTCAACAACGTCCGTGTTGGCTCCCTGGAGCAAAACCACCAAGGAATAAACTGGGAACAAACTGGGTAAAACTCCCTGCTGGCGTGTGCCCACATCTCCTCTTCCCTTGCTGTCCACACACAGCTTTGGTGCAGCACAGGCAAAGCATCCACCAGTACCCCCAAGTCCTTCTCGGCAGGGCTGCTCTCAGTCCCCTCATCCCCCCAGCCGGTATTGATAGCAGGGGTTGCCCCGACCCAGATGCAGGACATTGCACTTCACCTTGTTGAACCTCATGAGGTTTACAAAGGCCCATTTCTCGAGCTTGTCCAGGTCCCTCTGGATGGCATCCCGCCCTTCTGGCGTGTCATCTGCACCACTCAGCTTGGTGTTGTCTGCAAGCTTGCTGAGGGTGCGCTTGATCTCGCTGTCCAAGTCATTGATGAAAAGATTAAACAGCACCTGCCCCAGTACAGACCCCTGAGGGACATCACTTGTCACCAGCGTCCACCTGGACATTGAGCCATTGACCACTACCCTCTGGCCGCCACCTTCCAAGCCACCGCATAGTCCACCCATCCAATCCACGTTCCTCCAATTTAGAGAGAAGGATGTTGTGAGGGAATGTGTCAAAGACTTTACAGAAGTCCAGACAGATGACATCCATAGCTCTTCCCTTGTCCGCTGATCTAGCCACGCCATCATAGAAAGCCACTATGTTGGCCAGACAAGACTTGCCCTTGTCTCTCATAACATCCTCACAGGGGAAGGAAGGGTGGGCTAGACGAGTGGTCAGTGCGGTGGACTGAGAACTGGCTGAATGGCAGAGCTCAGCGGGGAGATATTCAAGACCCGCCTGGACAAGGTCCTGTGCAGCCTGCTGTAGGTGACCCTGCTTCGGCAGGAGGGTTGGACTAGATGACCCACAGAGGTCCCTTCCAACCCCTTCTATTCTGTGATTCTGTGATTCTGTAATTCTGCGATTCTGTAATTCTGCTAACTCCATGTCTTAATAGATCTGTTGCCTTCACATTTTGTTTGTGTACTAATTCTTGGTGACTCTAAAGCTTTTGGAATTAGTGGTATTAATGCATCTTCCTGAATTCTAGGGATATTTTATCGTTTGTGTGTTGTAGCTAGAAAGGTAAAGAACATAGTATTGTAGCTTTAAAGTGGCATGAAGACGTAATAACCCTTCAGTGTCTGACACTTAATTCTGTGTTTCTTTCAGTGTAAGCTCTTGCCATTGGTCACTGGGTTAACTGCATCTTATACTCTTTCCTAATAGTTTCATACTGCTTCTGCAAGTATGCCATACCAAGCTCTCAGAGCAATCACTCAGTAGCTCACTTTCTGAGGAAAATTTTAATGTGGAAATAGACATACTTAATTTAATGAATAATGGGTAATTAACTGCGTCTACAGTGTTGAATTATGTAGTGTTGGCTCTGCATCATAATCCACAATGACCATTCCTTCAAAGGGTTGCAGATACATTTATCTCTACTGCTCTGGCTTCCAACATGGTGGTGAACTTCACCTCAAAAGTTGTATAACAGCATAACAGGTGTGTCCCATTCTGTCAGTGGAAAGCTTTTTTAGTATTTATCTAAGAAGCTTTAAGTGAAGACATTGGAAATACTTAAATTGCTTTTTATTAGCCTCTTTGTGCCCTCCAAGAGGTAAGGTAGTTGCAAAAGGCTTGCTTAGGACCTGAGTATTTCTTTCTAACTGCATACTCAGCCCAGCTTATGTCATGCCTTGCCCAGGACACTGAGAAGTGAGGCATAAAATAGCAAAACGAGGAAGACAAGCGTGAAAAATTACTTCAGTGTTTGATATGTGACCATGTCACTGGTGGCTGTCACTTCTAAATACAACTTCTATACAGAATGTGAGACTGAGACCCACAGGGAACAGCAGGAACTGTAAGAGCCTGTTGCATGATTTTAACGAAGTGCTGGATCCTTCTCTCTTGTCTTTGCACATGACAGGGGGAAGAGGTTACTTTGGAAATCCAATGGAGGTTTCATCATTCATGAATGATGATATGGAGAAAATACTTTAAAGGTAGATAAACCTGCCATAGATTATAAACCTTGTTGTCAGTTCTGATGCTTGGAAGAATATGAAGCTGGCAACTAAAATTTGTAACACAACTTTTGTCCTGTGGTTAATAATGTGGAGATTACAGGGGGTTTATTTGTTTTTCCAAAAAAATGCTTGCAGTAACTTTCAAAAACTGTTCGGGACCCTTCTTTTCCTGTAGGTCTATGACTAGCGAAAGGCAGCTGGAGAAGAGTTGATACAGTAGGTGTTCCTTCAGCATAGGGGACTCTGTTTTCTTTGAGCTTTCAGAACTTTGTAGGCTTCATAGAACTTTGTAGACTTTGTTAGTTGAGGAAGGATCTTTGAGCAGCAGGTGCTGCATTGGTTCTGCCATGGATTAATGATGGGACAACTGAATGAATAAGGAAGGTGCTTTGACCATGAAGAATTAACTACTACTTGGTGTTGTAGCAGAACTGTAAAGGGGATTTGGTGTTAAGATTATACACAGTTCTGATGACTTTATATGGAACTTATATGTCAGCAAAGGACTGAATTTCATCAGCTTTAACGTCACGCTGTGTATTTTTCATTTCCTGTGAGCCTACCCAAGTCAGTCAACATCAAGATAGAGGATGTTTGCCTTTTGTTACTTTCATGGTTTTTGAAATGGCTGAAGTTTCATATGCAAACTGTACTTGTTAGAAAAAGGTGATGTTTACATTTTTTTGAATCAAACAAATTTTGATATCCATTTGCACACCTGGCTACTCTTTTCTATAAGGCAATCAGGACTTCTTTAAAGATGTCATTTTCCAGGAACATGTCTGTGGTTCATAAAAGAATGTGATATAACCAACAATGTGGATTTACTCCAGGAAAATTTGCAATACAAGGTTAGCAGTTGAAATACTGGCGCATAAAAATAAAAAACAAAACTAATAAATAAAAATAAATCCATTTCCTATTGTTGGTAAAAGTTCCATAAACTGTTCAAATGCATTTGCAGTTAAAGGACTAGAACAAATATGTTAAAAATCATATGTCATATGTTACAAAGCTCAGCGTTTTAACAACTGTCACACTATCAAGTATATTAAATTTTGCCTATATTAGCAAAAGTAAGTGCATAAAGCTCTTAGGTTACAATGATTAAAAATACAAAAAATAATAAATAATAAAAATAGGTGGTATGTAAATATTGCGCCTGCAACGTATCCATTAGTGCAGATTTTATGCGACATAGTATCAGTGTTTCTCTGCTGTCACATATATTCTGACAATCTGTGGAGACACAGATGTTATCTATTTGCCCATTATATGGCAGCAGTATGTCTTTTATTCTAGAAGTTTTGACTTTGACACAGGTTTGTCACAGGTGGTTTTTTTTTTATACACACAGTACAGGAGTGTTAAATTGTAAAAATAATTGAAATCCTGTTTTCTTTCAAAATATGCAATGGAAATATAATTTAAACCTTAGATGTATCAATTGGGAATTTTTCTGTCAAGGCTTAGGTTGGTGAAGAGGGAGCTCTTCAAATTCCTGGGTCTTTTTTTATTTGAAAAAGAAAAACCACTGAAAAAAATCCAAACATTTTGGATTTAAGGTTGCCAAAAACGTTCATATCATATGCATTGGTAAATGGTAACATTTTGGGAGAACAGTGAAAGATTGTAAACTATGGGCATGCATACAGAAAAAAGATGCCACAGAACTCCTTACTAATTTCAGATAACTCGGTGTGAGTATGAGTGTTATATGGCAACGTGAACACTGAATATTTAAGGTGGCCACATATTGAGCCCATGTTTATTCTTGGCCTCTTGCTGCTTGTGCCTTTCTGTTTCCCTGCATACTGAGTTCCCTACGTAATGAGATTATCTGCCCACACTGGGCCAGGTTTTTTAAGTTTAAAGGAATAAAATGACAGTTAGACTGATGCAATCAAGTGAATGATTGTTTTGACGTATTTAGGAAAGAGGTGAAAGGAGTACTTAACACAGTGCGTAGTTGATATGGAGGGTGCTGCTGAAACTGTAATTGTTGTTTTAAAAACAAGTAGTTATATATATCCAGAATTTTATTGACCCTTTTTATCCCCCAAGTTGTACAGCCAGGACATCATGATACATGATATTCACAAATACTTCTCCTGTTTAAGATACCGATATCTTCATCAAAAGGGATTTAAATTGTTTTAAGACTACTTTTGACTATAAAAATACTTTTTTCACATCTTGTTAATAGTGCTCGTTCATAAACCCCATTAAATTTTCAAAGTATGTGATAAAAATGGGAGATACATGCATGATTCTGAAATGGCTGGAGGAAAATAGGTGATAGTCTAGTTTTCATTGAAGTTTCTCTCATAGTGTGAGACTCAGGATATTGTCAGATTAAAGAATACTCTACTTTCTTCTTTAAAATGTATAAAACATTACCATCCATGTAATCGCATGACAGGCTGAAAGTTCTTGAATGTGTAAATGCCTTTTTTCCCCCTTGTTTGCCCCTTGCAGTGAATAATAATAATAGGCTGTTTGGTTTTTTCCCAGATAACCTTTTTCATGCTGCTGTCTGCAGTGTGCGTAATGCTGAACTTGGCTGGTTCCATTCTTTCTTGTCAGAATGCTCAGCTGGTAAAGTCCCTGGAAGGATGTCAGTTGGTGAGTAATGAAAAACAAGTCTCTTACAAAGGGCAATGGATTTTATTTTCCATTTGTTTGGGTTCTATACATATATTCCTTTAATTTTCAGAACAGTATGCTCTTAGTAGAGCCATCTATAGGCATTACAACATGAAAAATCGTGTTGGAAAACGTTTGAGAGTTAAAGTGCTAATGTATTTACAGTGTTTTGTCACCTCGAAAAGTAAATTGCAGTATTAGAAAGACTTGGTTCTTAGTGATGCTTAAACAGAATAGGTGGAATACAGGCCACATCAAAGCAATGCTGTGGCTACCATTTGATGTCACCAGTATCAGGATTTCATCCAGTAGCTCCTTATACAGCCAGTATATATCACTGTACTGATAGTAATGTTTTAGTATGTGTATGTTAATATTTTATTTGCCAACCTAAATGAGGTCGGTTTTTTTAATTTCCAAAGCAGATGCATGGTATTTGTGTTAAATATAAAATACGGTATAATAAAAATTACCGTGATGTGACATGCTCTAAATTATGAAAAGGTGCAGTATACCTAAAATATTTATGTTTTTATCTCAGGAAAATAGACATATTCATTGAACTCTAACATATTTTCTGACTTCAACTTACAAAGATGTGTACAGAACTAAATTCATCTCAGAAATCTCTGATTTAAAGTAAATAACAAAACATTCCCCCCCCCCCGCTTCAGGAAAGAAATGACATTAAATTGTAAGATGACAAATGGACTGCAGAATGTTTATGGATATGCATCTGTGCTCTTTTTAGTATAATCTGGCTGTCACTAGACCACATCAGGCTTTTTAAACTGTATGAGCATGTGTTCATAGGATTCATTAAGTATTAGGAATATGTGCACGTATGCACTGCATGATATCGATTGAATGATAAAGAGAAAAGATATTTTTCTCTCTAATACCAACAGAAGACCACACAAAATGCTTGTGCACTGCTTCTGTTCAGCCAGTTCCAAGGTTTTTGTCCAGTAAAACCCTGCAGGCTTCCATTTGCACAGAGTATATTTAATAAAACTAAGTAAAAACAATATAAAATGTTTCAGCAAATACTGCAAAAGGCCCATGAAAAATACAGATGAGGAAACCACTTGGGTGTGACCTGTCACATGCCTTCACCTTGTTTGGTCAGCTTTCAAGGCTGTGTTTTGTTTTCCGTCCTGTGTTTTGTCACCCGTCCTGTTTCAGAGGGGTGTGTCTGCAGCTCCATCAGTTAGGGAGTCTGGAAAAGCTCAGGTAATTCTGCTAAGCTTTCTATACTGCTTGTGATCTCCAGGTGTGATTGGGGTAAAGGCTGTATAGAACCAGATGGATGGAGCCAGATAGCTGACTCGTGGAAAGCCAGCAGTGACCCAAAGAGAGGAAGAGAGGCTTTTCCCTGTAAAATATTTGATCTGGGAAACTCTTGATAAAGTTCCTGGCTCTCATTTTGGTGGAGAGTTGGAGTAGTGCTGCAGAGTGGGAGAAACCAACTGGTGGAACCTGGAGCTGTTAGAAGATTCATGCTGTATTTTGGAGTGCTATGGCAAAATAGCTTTTTTGTTGTGGAGTTTGTTGGGTTTTTTAATGAAAAAAAAGTAGCGTCATAGGTATATTTTGTGAAAGGTCTTTGAAGTGAGTCCTACTAATTTGTTCTGAGATCTTTGCTTTGATATTAAGACTATTTAGGAGTTACTTTGAGGGACTGTGTTTATATCAGAACTTCCTATGAAGACTTACAAAAATGGCTTCGTATCTGCATGGAAGAAAGAATAAATAGTCTCTCAAAATGAATGCTTCCCTAACTATATGATGCAACTATATAACTATATTATGTGACCTATCTGCTCTAAATTTCAAACACTGTCTTTTGACCTGGAGCGTCATTGTAATTAATATTTTAGGCTAGTGTCCAGACATCAAACTAGCTCTACTGGTTGATACATTGTGTTCCATACTCTCAAGCAATGACATCTTGCACATCTCTCATGTAGGACAGTATCAAGCCCTAAAGAAAAAGAGGAAGGAACACTGGAATTTGGGACACATTAATTTACCTCTTCCTTTCTCAATATCTCATTGTTTGATTTGTTGGTAAAATCCCCTACAATTTCTGTACTGTTGGATATGTAATTTCAGAACCAACATGTTCTTAACTACTTACTGTTTTTGACATTTGATTGATATAGTAATAAATGAAAAGAATGTGTGTGCATGTATATCTTGGTGAGGGGAGCCATTGGTACTTGTGTGTGCAGTCTTTCACCTCTGACTCAGTAGTAACCAGTGTCATTACTGACAGAGTTTTGACAGATGTCCAGCAAGCTGTGTGAACAGAACTTAAACAGCAAATCCTGTCCCAGATGGAGAGGAATGCATGTAGCAAGAACAGTGCCACTGATGCCATTGCAGCTTACTGCATGCATGGGTCTTGCTTCGTGTGTATGTCTGCTTTTCCAGTTCCTTTCAGGCCGCCATTAGCAAACAGGGCTACTCGGCAAAGCCTACTGAAAAGTCCCTACGCCTACAATTCAGTTGCTTACTCAAGCTACTGAAAACGGTGATTAAGTGTGTGCTTGTTGGAGTCTATGTTTGAAATTGTTGACAGTGTTTACCATTTAATAATACCACCTAGCCATATGTGATCTCTGTTCTGGGATGTATTGTGATAATGTGTTTGTGTTAGGATTCCTCATGAGCCTTTGCACCAAGCAGAAGGGAGCATTTTAAATTCTCCTAATACGAGCTATAATAGAGGTGTAGGACAAAAGGAAGAAATTAAAGTTAATGAGGATGAACAAAATGGCATTGTAGGGATGGAAAGTTGAAATAAGTAAAATTCTGCTTAATTAGCACATTCAGAGACAAAGAAAGCACTGGCTCCAGCCAGGGGTTAGATGTTCACTATCAAGAAAAAGACCTAAGTCAACAGAAAGTCTTTTCAGTCTTTTAAATGTTCGCTTCAGTGACCTCTCTTCTGGTTATAAATCCCATATCTCTTCTTCAATTTGGCTCAGAATCACCATCTCTAGTAGGAAAACTACTGCTGCAGAAGTAACTGGTGATGCAGTTGTGCAGCTGAATTCTCAGATCACTGATGAAAATTAAAAGGAATAAATTCGTTTCGGATAAGGTGAAATGTAGAAGGAAAAAAAAGGTTGGTTCAGGAAGAATTGCTTTTCCTCTTTTTTTTTCCTTCAGCTTTTTGAAAAAAATGTTCAGTTGTTTGGGTTGTTTTCCACTTGGAAGTGTAATGTTCCAGAATATCCTAAGTTCAGTGATTTTCATGGGACAACATTTGATTTGAAGTTTAAAATAGCCTTGGGTTCTTTCACTGCATATTTTCCCCCTGCTTCCCTCAGTCTTGCCTTCTCTAGTCTTGTTCCAGTCAACAGTGAGGGACAGGCATGGTACCAAACAAAGGCTTTCAGTGGGCAGCAGAAGGTTCCTAGGCTTTGCCCTTGGGCAGGTGTCTGAGGGTTCAGAGGTTTGGTGGGTGGCCACATAGGAGGGAACTTCTGAGGAGGTGCCTTCCCCATTTGTTCTCTTGTGGCAGAATTCAAAGGAAACCTTTGCTTGTTTCTCGAGGTGGATGGAAGATTGTCACCTGAAAACAGTGTTTTGCACTTTTTCCAAAGCCAGGGTAGTTGGCTAGTAAATTAAAAGGCTAACAGTTACATTTCATTTGTACTTTCCTGAGCTTTTTGTTCCTGCTACAAATGGAACGTGCAAATTTTCCTCTGGACTAGTGAAACGCTGAGCTGACAAAAGAAGATAAATGTTCAAACTGCTAGTTTCAATTTTCAGAGCATAATGAAATACTAAGTAGCTTTGCACAGTGTATTGTACTAGATGAGGGCAATTTAAGGTCATTGTGACCGTTTATCATATCATAATTGTTTCCAAAAAATTGCAGTTGCTTTTGCCCAGACCTTACTTTTTAGATTTTCTTACTCAAAAACGCATTCAGTCAGGTTGGGACTTGCATATGGATACCTTTTATTGCCATGTTGAAGTGCTCATATGGATGAAATTCTGGAGTTCTGTGCTTGTAGACCACCTACGGGGAGAGATGTGCTGTAGTGAACAACACTGCTTTGTGATTAAGCGCAAGATTTGACTCAGAATTTGGTAAATTATTATGGTGAACATATTTAATTATTTTATTACCGGTTTTCACTCAAAAAGGAAAAATACCAGTTTCTTAGCAGCTTGTTCTAAGCTTATATTTTATGTTAATTCCTTATATGGCTCACTTTAGTGTTGTAGATCTGTGCAGTCCTGCAGTATGTGACTGGATGTACATAATCAGAGAGCTCTAAATCCTTTGATTGCCTGCTACGATATGAATTTATTTTACAGCAATGGACCTCTAGGAGTCAAAATCCAGCTTCTGTAGACATGGAATTTGAGATGTAGTTAATATTCCATGTAACTGTACCAGACAAAAATATATTCCTATGTTTCCAAGTACAGTACAAAAATCAAATTCAAAATAAATTCTGTTTTACTTGTAGTGTTTCTGTTGAACTTATTAATGCTGAATGTATGGCTTTAAAAGTGATAATAGTATCTATCGTATTGTGGAGTTTAAATTCAGAAGTGCTTCACCTGTAGAGTAGTTGAAGAAAAAGAATGAGACAAAAGGGGCTTATTTTGCTTTAAACACTGGGAATTTATTGTAGATTCTATAATATACATTTTTATGTGAATATAAAAAATTTGCTCACCATATGTTAACATTTTGAATGTGTAATTTGTGAATTTAGTATTTGTGCTCTTTATCCTGCAACTTAGCAATATACAACACTGATGAACAAAAAATACCAGTAGCTTTAATGGCTTGTTATGAAAATTTAATTGGATTTTTTTTCCCCATGATTGGCTGTAGATCTTGCAGCCAAAAGCTCAAGATACTGCTGTAAGTCAGTGAGAGCAGGATGTATACAGAGCAGTTAAACACTCAAGCTGTGCATTAATCTGTGTATGAGAGACAACATTTCTGTCTTATGAATTTCTTTTTCAAAAAATTAATCTCTAAAAATTATGCTTAACGTGTGGGTAGAGCAATTTATATATTTTAATTTATATTCTATTACTGCACAAGATAGAATTTTGTTAGTGATGTTTCATTTTTTTAGTCGGTTTTTGTCTTTACTGGGTGTACCAGACTTACTGTTAAGTCGCTTACTCATTTCAAAATAAATGCTCTAGTTTTAATCAAATTTTCAGCTGCTTATTATTCAGAAAAGTAGTGATAGTGTCTTTCTCTATAGAGAGAGATTACTTGTGAATTATTTTTAGTGGTACAGCTGAAAGTGGCCTGTGGTTATAGTAGCATGTAAAGGAAGGCTCCTTTTTCACCGAGTTATGTTTAGCTGGAATAGGCAAAGCAAGCAAAAGCAAAGCAAGCGCAGGTTCATGGAAGAGGTGAATGGCATAGCCTGGTTCCAGAGCTGCGCTTTCGTTGTATTCCATTTTGTGCTGTAGCTACGTTCAATTCTGTGCATATTGAAAAATAAATTTTAAAATTCCAGGAAAATGGATGTGCTTTGTTGTTGTCGTTGTTCTTATTCACCTGTCAGCTTTTTCTCTTGATATTCCCTGCCACTCAACTTTATTCCTTACTGGGTCCTCCTGCTCTTTCTCCTTGCATAATCTGCTATAATTGACTAAATTCCTTCCAATAAATATCCCAATGAGGCTTTCTTGCATTTCAATGCCTTGTTTTCAACTTCTGACCTTTTAAATTTTATTTTGAAATTTTTGTCCTGCTGTTTTTATATTCCCTATAAAATACCCTGAAGTTTGATTTAGAAGAAAAAGCAAAGTCTACTACTACTTGTACCGGAAGTTTTAGATTTCTAATAGGGTAGAATGCATAATAACACTGTTACTTCATCCCTAACTTACCCTTTTTGGTGAGAATGTGTGTATACTCTGCAGTAGTTTCTTCTTTGTTAAGACACCTTTAATACCTAGACAGAATTTGATGAATTCATACAGATTAGAAAAGTCTGGTCTGGACACATTTTTGTTACTGTATTGTAACATAGGGGGCTTTGTGTGTTTGTGTGCGTACATGCTTTTAATAAGCCCGAAGTTTTCTGTGTTCTTTGTTTTTGGAGGATCCTTTACTTTTTTGATACTCTGTTACATAAAAGTCAGATTTTAATAGGTTTTATCACTTTTGAAGTAACAGTACTGCTTTTTGGCAAGACGAGATAAATTTAAAAGATAATTTATGCATGTAGGCAGCTCAGGCTGATGTTTGAAATCTTAAATATGGTTTGGATGAGGGTGTACTGTGTAACTGTCATAAACATGAAAGTACACAATCTATACAGTGATTACTGACTGTGCTTACTACCATGAGTAAGAATCACAAAGTGGAAAGCAAATATATACAGGATGGTGGGGAGTATGTGTAGGGGATGAAGTGAATGATGCTTTATTCTTGAGCTCTGCCAACTGAAAACAGATTTAAACATAGCAGAGACAGGAGAAAGAACGGAGTTTTGGAGGCACTGCTGATGTGATTGTGCGGGAGGCTGGCAAACACCAGCCCTGCAGCTGGAAGGTGTAATCCCAGCTCCTTCTGCCTGCGCTGGTGTAGCTCCACTGTTTGTGCTGCTGTCTGTATTTATGAAACCACAAGGTGAAGGGCAATTGAGGTCTGATCTGGGCTAAAGACAAACCACTCCCACGCAAAAAAAGAAATGTTTACGTCACAGGATAGCTGTAGGAACTCTTGATCCTGTCTGCACCAGTGTGAGACAGAGCAGGGCAGGAAGGAGCATCCTGGAGCGGGAGGGCTCCAAGCTGCTTTCAGCTGCTGTATTGTTGAAAGCACGAAGGCAGTGACCTGCTCAGCCTTTTGTGCTGCTCCCCACTACAGAAACACAAGCTAGCAAAGGTGTCACTTCACAGGCATTTGAAGGAAAAGGTGCACAATAGGGCAGATTGTTAAAAGCTCTCAAAAAATGTATGTCTAAGATTAAAACAGTTTTGTTTTGCAGTCAGGTTGCAAATCTTAGGTGGTTTTGAATATGCTGGGATTTTTAAGATGTCCCTATGTTTTGCACGAAGTTTCACATAAACAATTATCTTCTAACTATTGTTAAGAGTTGAATTAAAGGGAGAATTACTGGGCATTACAAAGTTATGGAACACCTTTCAGAATGAATTTAGAATCTCTCATAGACAGGGAATCTTGACCAAGAAAGTATTGCACTTTTCAGTCTCATTTCTGTGACACCTGTTCATTACAGGAGATAAAAGTAGACTTGGGATCTGTATTTCGTATTAGAAATGTCAAATACATCCCATCAGGAGTCAGTGACTATCTTTCATTGAACAGGGGCAGCATGAATCAGAGAAGAAATGATGGTGCAGTACATAGCTTTGTCTGAAGTCCATTATCCTCCTGACAGAAACTTGGAACAGCTGAAGACTGTATTGATCTGCTGCGTGCGTGGTGCTGGTAGAGCAGCTGTGCTGTAGCATTCTGGCCACTGAATTGGACACGGCTCTAAATTCAAAGAGAAAGTTTCAAACTTCCTCTGTGGCATTTATAAAACAGTTGACACCATTTATAACACTCCCAGAGAGGTTTAGGAGCAAGACCTTCCCCATGGTATTTAGCGCTTTATATTTTGCCTTGATTTGAAGAGCTTAAACCACGTTCGGTTTTGCTCAGATCTTTCACTTTTTTAAAAGAGAGTATTAAAAGATGACAAGAACTGAAAGAAACCACTGTCTGAAATTGTTAAAGCAGCTTTGTGAATTATATTGTGTGCCAATTGGTAATAAACAACACGACTGTTACAAAGGTGCTGGAACTATTTATTTTTTTAAATTTGTTTTACAGTGTCTATGACTTAGGGTATGACCAGTCTCTGTGAGTTGGCATAGATAATTATTTCCAGTGCTGCCTTTGGGTATATGGGAAATGGTATAATTTACATACCCAGATTTTTTTAAAGCCTTTTTACAAATTATACTGGCAGGAGGGCAGTCTAGGGTCTCAGGAATTGAAGCCCACTGAGACAGTATCCTGTCCTGAGCACACCTTCATCACTGTATGTGGCAAGCATTCATTCATCTGTATTTCATCTGGCAAAGTTTATTATTTTTTTTTTTAATGGACTCTTATTTCTGCTTTTCCAGCTGCTGTTCTTGTCACTAGCATGGAAGCAGAGAGTACTAGATAAGCCTGACAGGAGTGACACTAAAAAACATATATATTTAAATATGTAGCTATTAAGATTATATGAACAATTTAAACATTCTTCAAGGTCTTAAGCAGTGAGAAATATTTGGTTGAAATTATTCTGCATATAAGGCTGCGCGAGGGGTTTTTTGTTTTTTGGGTGGTTTTTTTAAAGTGTAAGTAACATGATATTCAGATCTCTCACCCCTCAGCCACTGTGCTTCCATCTTTACTTGGAGGAATACAGGACTGATTGATTATGTGTGAATGGGACATTGAATCTTTTATTCTTTACATGAGAAGCCATGGAAGTTTCTCCTCAGTGTCATTCTTACTGCTAATTATTGGAGTATGGAAACCTGGGATCTGGTATTTTTAGACTGATATTTCAAGGAACTGCTGTGTGCTGCTAATTACTTTTCTCAGTAGTAACCCGGATTGAATTGCAGATAGTGACCTGAAGAAGTAAGGTATTGTATCCCATTATTAGACCTTTAAATAACCTGCAGAAATGGGACTAGAGAAAGCATAGAAATACCCAATTGAGAAAATCTAAAGCAATGACAGTTCATATTAACAGGCTAGAGAAAAAAGTGTGCGAAGTTAAATTTTGGCTTAAAAAAGTCTTTATTGAAGGAAACAAAAAAGTAAACTTTGCTGTGAGATTCAGTTTTAGGTTTTTTTGTTTGTTTGTTTTAACAAAGAAGTCAGAATCAGTGTAATGCATATTTTCATTGAGCTGAACACAATTATTTTAATGTCACTTATAGATATCTTAACTTTAGCTTACTTTTTGAGAATGATCAGGGTTCAGTATTCTTAGCAAGGCATGCTTTAATGCAGGTCTTTGAAGAATAGAATGCATAATGCTTTTTAAAATGTAAAGCCATTGAACACTTACTGTATTCAAGACAAACTGAAAATAGGAAAATAGGAAGCAAACCTTTTCCAAAGTAAAAATATGTATGAGATGACATGTGCCTCGTACTTCCTCCACTTTTTCTTCATGCAATGTTCTCTTTTCTCGAGTATGTTTCATGGTTTCTTTGTAATTATTTTCCCATGTATGTGTAAGTTAAATTTGTGATCATGAGTGCTTCATGTATTTTCTGACTTTTTTCTATTATTTTTTCGCTTTCCCAGTTGGGTATGAGTTTTTTCAGTTCAGTTACTCTGGTTTCATCTGTCTCTGTAAAGCAAATTTTTATTTTATGAAGAGACATAAAATGTAGCACTCTTCTTTGGTATTGTCTCCTCTTTCTGTATTTCATCTGGTTTCATGGCTTACATTAACCAATGGAAGACATTCTCCTCCAGGGGATTCTGCGTACCGATTTTCATTTTGCATTTAGTAGTCATTACTGTCACAGTAAGTGTAAATATAATTTTGGGGAAGTGTATTTCTGTTGATTTATACTTTCTCTGACCTTTTTTTTTTCCTTCACAGATTAAATTTGACAGTGATGGTGTCTGTGTTTGCTGTGAAATGCAGCATCAGACATCAGGCTGCAGTAACTTGGGAGAAACGCTGAAACTGAACCCTCTGCAGGAGTGTAATGTTGTGAGGCTGACCCTAAAGGTGCGTTATGAGAGGAGTTAACAGTTTATTTCAGTTTTAAGTAGTGAGTACTTAGCAAGACAAAAGTGTGTGATGTGATAACTGTAAATGTAACAAATGTAACATGTAGGGGATGTTATCACTTCAGGTGGTCAGAAACAAGTCTTGGTTTTTTGTGAATATTGGGATGGTTGCAAGACAAGGGACTACAGGCTGCAGGATAATCTGAAGACCCCGCCTATGAGAGACGCCAAACAAACTGTGCAACGGACATTACCATATATTAATGAGTTCTCAGAAAAACCATTACTATGATAAGCATTTTTTGCAAATGTAATTAATATGTATGTTAACATAGCATAAATACCTAGTAACTGTGTCTCTTCGGTGCACACGTTTGGAGGAGAGATCCCCCGTGTGCCCGGCGCCACAATAAAGAATACCTGCTTAATAGTCTGCCGACTATTGAGTCTTCAATTCCGGCTTTTCACGGCATCAGATGAAAGGGGGACTAGCTAGTGTTCTCTGTGTTTCTACACTCTTACATGTAAAAAAAATGTGAATTATCTTCAGCCAACAGAATTTAGTGCTGCTATGCATCAAAATGGTTTTATGTTACATACTCAATAACTGTATTTGTATAGGTAACTATTTTGTTAGAGGTTATTTAAGAAACAGAAGTTATAGTTGGTTATGACTGATGCTGGAAGATATAAGAACAGGTATCTTTCATGTTACTGCTCAAGACAGCTAAAGTCAAAGGTGATTGTTGACATTGTTCAATAATGTTGCAAAGAAACAAAGTATTAGCAGAATGATGAAGCTTTTCATGATGTAAAGCTAACACAAAGTATTAGCAGTATTTCAGATGGAAGTTACTTTGGGAGAAAATAGTAAGTATTCTTTCAGAATAATGCTGGAAACATGCTTATAGACTGCTCTGCAATATTATAAGAAGATTAAATCCTGTAGCATTTTGTGTTACAACTGCCCAGTGAAAAAAATTGACAGCAAATATTAAGAATATTTTATGAGTCAGTTATATCCCAGTGTAATTGCCCACATCATTGCTTCACTTTATTGTCACCAAACTAGCAAGACATGGTGTTGTATTGGTTTGGAAAACAGTAAGGAACCATGAAAGAATTGGTCAGAAAAACGAACCCCTAGCCTGAGACACAGATATTGATTCATATTAGGTTTAATTTAATGATCAACAGAACTAACTCTGCATCTGTGGCTTTCAATCTCAAAATATTTATTTTAATATAGTTAACGGAATATAATGGAGTAGTGAAATTCGATGTGATAAGGATCTTGGGCATTTAGACTATAGTGTGAGGCCTGAAAATGCTAAGTTACTTTGATATTTGAAGCTGTATTTTAAAATTCAGAACAAGAAGAAATCCTGCAAAAGGTATATAATAAATATCTAAATGTTCTTGTTAAGAAAAACGAAAAAAGAAAAACAACTACTAAGGACCAGGAATAAATTAAAACAATTTGATATGACCCCAAAATGAAGTAAGAACTCTTCCTCAGGTTTTAATGAGGATGATAGAGGAGACTACAGGAGCAAAAACCTACTGAGTAGCTAGAATTCAGGAAGTGGAAAGGAAGCATAATGCTGAATTCATGACTGTATTCAGTGTGAGGTTTCAGTGACCTGTTACGAGAGGATAATGAAGGAAAGTAATTCTTAGAAGGATGTTCTTCGAAGTATGAGAGATGCAAAAACATGAACCTGTAGCACAGAAAAAGCTGACTTGCTGATCCTGTAAATATAGAGATTGAGGGAGCATATGGTTGCTTGCTGTAAGTATGCCAGTAGAGTAAACTTTAATGAGAGAGAAAAGAACTGTTTATCTTTGAGGACATTGTCAACATATGAAGTAAGTAGAAGTGACATATGCTGGAAGTCAGGGTAAGGTTTCTAACCAATACAGCAATAAGAATAGAAGCACAAAATATAATTTTTCTTAAAATACAACTCAGTCATTTATAAAAGGAATTGATGCATATCTGCTTGCACTAGCAGAGGTCTGTTTTAAACACAGGAGTTCTTATGAGTGTAATCTGAGTGCAGCTTTAATTAAGTATGTTCAGAATTTTTCATTTAAGAGAAGGTAATTAAGAAAATATCTTTTTTCAGAAATTTTCTTAAATCTTTTTCAGTTTTAATTCTACATTTGCTTTCTACTTGGCTTTGACAGCTCTGCATTCCTGACTAAATTTAAGAACAGCATTCTACTAAGCCCATGAGAAAAAGAGACTACAGCTCATTAGGTAAACAATGGACAGTGATAAGGCTCACCTTCTTTAATTGCAATTAACAACTACAATGTGATTTTAAGAGAACAGACATTTTAGTACCAAAAGCTCAGTTGAGTTCATTGTCTGGGGAGTCAGAGGGAGAGAACATGTAGAGTACCATTATACACCTTGACTATAACATTATGTAGGTTTCATGATCCTCTTCTTTATTGAGGGTGGAGTAAAATCTGGTGTTTCCACTAAGTCATCTGTGTGGTTTTGGTGGTAGCAACTGCGGGAGCTGCATTGTGAACAGAACCGTTGCACACGTATTGCCTGTCTGATCTTGTTCCCAGTCAGTCAAACAGGACAAGGAAAAATAACAGTGGCTGCCAGTCTTGTATATGCTAAACTGTGCCGGGGTCATGCCTTGCACGATATTGAGTGGGGCTTTTTTATAGTTGCTTTGAAAAATTTCTAGAAGTTTTTTTATTTATTTTTGGCATCTCTGCTCAGAAGCATCTCTTTATGTTCCTTTGTAAATCAGTGTCTGTTTCTGCCTTTGAAACTCTGTATGAACTATCTAGATATTTTAGTGGGGACACAAGAATTACCACTGCAATATCTATGGTCGCACATACATACATATATAGATATGAGTATGGATTGCAATAGCTGAGTATGTGATCTGTGAGATAAGTGCTAATTCCTGTGATTATCCGAATAGTGAAATTTGAGCACAAAATTATATGTTACAGTAAAATGGACAAAAATACTCTGCTGTTTCACTGTTGTAAGGGTTGGGGACTCAACCCATTTGAAGCACAGTGAATTCGTGTGCTGAGAGTTTTGTTTGTCAGGCATTCTGCTTGTAGTCTTTTCTGCACATCTCCAGAAAAAAAAATAGCACAGTTGCATGAAGTGACAAACTACCATTAAGATCTGCAGGGACTGAATTCTGATCCATCTGCCCTGTTTTACAATGGAGAGATTTCCTGGTTACTGTTTTCTACCAGAAGATGCATTTTCTACAGTTTCCTGCATTAAAAGCTCCTGAACTGCCCTTGAAAATAAGGTTCCTTGCTTTCCTCTGGATTCTGTGCTGCTAAAGAATGTTGGTGTCTCAGTATCTTGATTTTAACAATAACCACACTTCTAGAATAACTCTGTCCTATGTTAGGAAGTTACTTGACTTAATTCAAGCCAAATGAAGGTAAAAGCAAATCCTACCTATTTAGAAAACTAGTAAAAAGAGTTAGAAAGGTTTATTAAGAGTCAGATGTACAGACACGAGATGATGACTACGGATGTGATGGACGGAGGGTGCAGTTTCACTAGCATCAACTTAATCTGGTTTTCCACAGAGCTGCCACCAGAAGGGGCTGTCTGTTCTGTATCCGGCTGTCGCCTGCCAATGAGTTTGCTGGTTTGGATTTAGCAGTCATGTCATCACGGAATGAATCTCTTCCATGGACTGGTCTGGTCCAAAACCCCACAGCATCTGCACTGAGCTTTTAGTGAAAACAATCTGCCACTGAGGTCTACGTTTCTTCTGTCACACAGATCCACCTTTGGGATAACTGAAATTCCAAATCTTGACCTGCTAGGTAGAGTGCAGTGAAGTGCTGTAGCCAAGATGCCAAAAAGAGCACCTGGTTGCCCGTTCTTTCCAAGTCATCTCTTTCAGCAGCGAAGTTCCTTCTTAGATTGATTTCAGCTGGTGTGAAACTAGGCTTGGTGTTAGCCCTTTTATATGCTGAACTTCATATCCCACACAGGCAATGTCGGTAAATCATGTAAATCAAGGTGAATACTTCAAAGATAAATGTTTTCAAGGCTAACGTGTGTACTTCACTATGCGCTCTTGCTAATTGACTGTTAGGTCCAGTTTCGTGAATGTGAATGACAATGGCTTCAGGTGAACTCTGGCTTGAGGAGATTTTGTGTTTATAATCAAAGACATATGATGGTTTTACAAATGTAGGAGGGGATACTGTTACACAAGGAAATTTGCCTTTGGACATTCCTTGTAATATTTAATGATTTTTGAAAAATCAATTTTATGGGGTGAATATCAGAAATCATTTGTTCTCTGCTACTTAAATCTTATATGGACTTACTTTTGTCTTATGAACTTCATTGAAGAGGAAAAGGTAACATGATTCTTACAGTGAAAAGATAACTTTTTTACTTACAGTAAAATTTGTAAAAGAAAAATATGAGCTGAAGGGTGAAGCTATGGCAAAATGTTTTATTGATGTATAGACTGCATAACCTTACAATTAATGGATTCTTACAAAACTTGGTATTTTAAAATCTTAGAAGGACAAACATATGAAATCTCTTGGGTAAACCATAGAAGGCTCATTATTTAAGTATCTGAAAAACAGTCACTTGGGAATAATTTTTTTGCCAGAACCAGTAGATCTTGTGCAAATAACACTTTGTAACTTTATCTTGTGCTTGGAAGGAATTCAGTATTTTTTCACTTTCTGAGAGGGTCTTCAGTTGAGCTCATTTTGCTCTTACCTTCTGTCCAAACAAGACAGGAGTGTTTCTAATGGATAAAGTAGAATTTTATGGCCAAAGATGCCAGGGTTTGTAGACTACTAAGGGAACTGTGAAACAGGGCAGGAGCATAAACCCGTTACGAGTAGGCTTGAAGTAATTAAAGAGCCGGAGCTCCACTGGAAAAGTTCTTAGAGGCTTACAAATTGCCGCCAGTCAGTTTAGCCAAGGTGTTGTCAGCAGTGTGTTACTTTCTCGAC